TGCAGGAGGTGGCACTCAGAGCCCTCTCTGTGGGCACGTGTGCCATCGCTCCAGCCAGGCCCAGACCATCATTAAAGTGCCGAATTCTCTGCCAAATAATTTTAAGTAAATGAAAGCATTTGGGATTGCTTTCCTTACTTTGTTTGGATCATCTTAAGTTAATGTATGAGTTGTTTTTTCTAAAGTAAAAGCTCAGTATTCAAGTTAAATTTTCATGTTGGCACTTTGCAATAAATAAGTGGGTTTTGGGTCGCAGTTTGGGCACTCGGTCTCTCAAAAGTTCACCATCACTGATCTAGGTGGTACGTCATTTTTCTGCAAGCTCTTATTTTAATTATAAAGGCATGAAGATGCTAGCTCCCTGAAGTGAATGAGCAATTAGCTGTTTAAATAGGGTTGCCAAGTCGATTTTCGCTGGGAGCGGGGGGCTCCCGGCTGGCGTCAGTTGCACACGGGCGCAAAGCGCGCACGTGCTGCATGCATGTCACCCGGAAGTGACATGACGACACCAGGCACGCTGGGGGCGGGGCCACAGCCATACAAGGGAAAACCATAGAGTTTTCCCTTGGATGGCCATGGCCCCGCCCCCAGCATGCCCGGCGTGGTTGCGTCACTTCCGGGTGACGTGCACGTCGGGGAGGAGTTCCCCCCGGGGCCCAATCCGGCGGCGGTGGGGAATGGGCCTCTGGGGTGGGGGTTTCCCCGCCCCCCGGGGGGACTTTGGAAGCCTATGTTTAAATGTGTGGAAAGATTTATTACTGAACATTTCAAAGGAACTTTTTCTTAAGGTTAGGTTAGTAAATAAAAAGAAAGTTATATTCCATTTGAAAGCTTAGTCTATTTTTTATACTGGTAGGATTCAAAAGTGGGGGGGGAATCTGTTGACACTTTTTATATTTTGCAGCAAACATGGCTTTTCAGGCACAGAGAGAATTTTCCCATCACTCGGTATCATTCATTTCAAGCTCAGAAATCAACTGGGAGTGGAAAACCAGGAACACTGTATTTCTGTGCAATAAAAATGGCAATTGGAATGGGGAGGATGAAACTAGCAGCCTTTACTATTTTCTTAGTGGGTAAGAGTTAATAATGTTTGAAAACTGACCTTGGGAACTCAGAAGACTGCTGCATATTTGAATCAATGACTTATGTAACATTTAACTAGGGCTCCTTTTAATAAAATTACAGGCTATTTTCTATACAACTGAAATTCTAGTTAACATTCCTAGAACACTACAGGCTGACAGAGGCAATAATCAAAGTTATCCATTTAACAAATTATGTACTGCTTCCTAAAAGTAGGGAAAACAAAATTAGTTAAACATTACATGAAATAGTCTTCCTTCAACCTTTTCTACCTGGCAGAGCTTTCTTATGGAAGCCCAAACAGTTGTCACTGCAGCTACAACGCAGCAGCAGCAACTGGGGTTCCAGATAGGAGCTTTCCCCACCCCAGTCCCCATAACAGCCACATACTCACACCCCAGTACTATGAGGGACTTTGTCCTAGGTTCATTTAAAAAAAAAAAAAACTGGTAATGGACGTACCATTATATGAAAATGATAGCTACAGAGTTTTTAAAGATCTCAAAAAAACCTGGTGTCATGCAGGGGTAGGGAGATGGCTGCCATGGGGAAATTGGCTGCTGGGTGGGCAGGACCAGGAAAACCCAAAATTTCCTGCCTATACAGGAGCCAGCCCAGTTTTTCTTCCCAAAACATCAAAGAAAAGTAGGTTTGGGAAAGCCTGCAGAAAAGAGAAGGAAAACCAGCATGGTGCAAGGAAGCAGCAAGAAACACACACACCCCATATGACCGAACAGAGGGCATCCATGAAGAAACAGCCTTATGTAGTGCAAATGATCTATTTCGTTTTAAATTAACATGTTTTAATTGTCAGATTTGCACATTGCAAGGCTTCAAAAAGGCAGTAAGACATAATTAACATTTCTTCAGTGCCAACCCACAGAAGTTCTGCTGGCTGAAATTCCATGTATAGTTACACACATGGAGCCCCATTTAAATCAGTGAGATCTAACAGGTAACAGAATGACTGTCAACAACTTAATGGTAGCTTATCTGAATATCATTACTGGGGTCAGTGCAATGATAATCTTTCCATTCTAAACCTATTACTTAACAAATATATTCTGTTGAAATCACTGCCACTTGCTTTCACACTGTGCTGCCCCACACCTTGTCTTTGTGACTGAACTGAAACATCAACATTCGCAAGGGGCACAAGTCTACCACCATGTCTTGCACAACTCAACTTATTTTTATTAAACATCTGCGGGAAAAGAAATGCCTGGCTATTTTTTCTAAGACTGCAGCACTCTCCTTATTCTAACAAGCAGCTATTGCCTCATCTACTGCATATGAACTTACAAAGCTGCTTCATGCAAAATCTACATGGCTCAATAATATTCACTCTTGTCTGAGGACTCAAACAGAAAAAGAACTTCTCCAGCACCTGCTTCTTTTGAGCCATTTAAAACGAGAAATGCCAAATGCTACTTTCTGCATGTAAAAACATGCACTAAGCCACGGCCCATCCCCAAAGCCAGGGGAGCATCTACACAAGCTATTTACATATCAACTATATACAGGTGTCAGGACAAGCTGTAAGTTATCAGTTATAAACACTGCTTGTTGTCATGCTCACTCTTCCACCACCTCCCTCCTCATTGTATGCATGGGGCTTGACTGAAACTTGCCATTTTGATCAAACATCAATTTGCCATGACACCCAAATGCAAGTGCCTTGGTAAAGCAGAATTTGCTTTCCCCCAGACAAGCCAGGATTCTAAGCCCCTGTTAAAATCCAGTTCAAACCCAGGCCACAGAGAGTAAACAAACCCAGTTTGCAAAGTCTCCTGCAACTGAATCTCATAGCACATCAGAGTTCATCACACTGGGAAATCTTCACTTCAGTGCCGAAAGGGTGGGGGGGACGAGGGAATGTACCAGCCTGGCAATCAGCTGTGCTCACACCAAATCAGTTTGGCTGTCCAAATGTAAAAACGTCATGCCAGATCTTTACTACCCAAAATATCAAGATACTTTAATTTTCTGAACCAGAGGTGGTTTTTACCCGGAAAGGAACCTAACCTGTTTACTAGATGGAAGCTTAAAAACTTATCTCGGTTCATAGATATAGCCAACAAAAAGGGTATTCGTACTAAATTGGAGCTTGAACGGAAACTAGGTTCTACTATACCATGGTTCTTTTACCTACAGCCGAGTCATTTGCTTAATCAAACGGATATAACAAGCGTAATGACTAAACCTCACACTGATTTAGAATTACTAATACGAGATTACGATTCACAAAACAAGGGACTTAGCTCAAAATTGTATACCATACTGATTAAAGGCTCGTGTTCCAAATCCCTACCATATCAAAAAGCTTGGCAAAAAAATATCACAAAAACACTCACGGATGAAATATGGGGGGAAATTTGGAACTCTACCAGTTTCAAAACCAAGGTGATGCTTGTTAGGCTTCAAAACTTGAAGATAATGACTCAGTAGTATGCTACACCGCGAAAGCTTTCATATGTTTCTACAAATCATTCCCCAATGTGTGGGAAGGAATGTCAGCACATTGGAGACTTTGCACATTGCTGGTGGCAGTGCCCAGAAATCAAAAAATTTTGGTCAGAGGTGTTGAATATTATCCAAAAGATCACCTCAATTCATGTTCTGCTATCTCCAGAAATCTTGTTTTTAAATGTTTGGCCTAACGATCTACTAACTAGACCACATAAAGCTATGGTGGAAGTCATGTTGGATGCAGCAAAAACTGTGATTGCATCGTACTGGAAAGCTAATAAAGCACCTAGTATTGAGGTGTGGTTTAAGAAATCATGGAGCCATTATTTAATGGATGCAGTCACAAATAAAATAAATTTCTTATCTCAAAAGCCAACTCTAACAATCTTCACAGATAAATGGTACCCGGTGCTTGACTACTTATCTCAACAACAATTCATCTCTTCTGATTGGACACACTATCACAAATGGATTTAAAGACTGAAAGTTTGTATTACTGCTTTGAAATTCTTTTCTTTTCTGTTCTCTTTTGTTTCATTTATTTATTTATTGTTCTAGTTTAATATATATTTTCAAGGAGGTAAAATACTTATGCTACATCAGACAGAATAAATGCATCTCTGAAAATTGAAAACATACCCTCTATGTATAAGAGCTGTTAAGTTATAGTTTATACATTGTGTTATATTCACTTCTTAGCAGTTATGTAAATACTTGTTATAGCAATGTTAACATTATTTACAAAAATTAATAAAAATATAAATATTAAAAAGGTGTTACTGTGAATGTAAGTTGTAGCTATTTTTTTCTTTCTTAAAAATTCCAACTTTTTTTCAGTCTGCAAAGTGCTCTAGGGAACAAAAACTCCCCATGCCCTGAATGAATTTAGTACAGTATGCTTCGCACACAGTTTGCTTTATGACTCACATTATACGATGATCTACTGAATTATTTTCTCAATACCAAAGGAGGAAATTAGAAGCATTTAATTTTGGATTTGAAGGTTTAGTTAGAGTAAGCATCGGGTGGCCTCATTAGTATTAGGAAAGACTGGTATGGTGCAACCAATTCATATCTTTGCCTTAACTCTACTATTGTAGCATTGGCACCAAGCTCAGAGACAGTTGAGAACACAAGCTGCCAAGACACTGAACCCTGGAGTTTTCCTACTAAGTCAGTGTGACTATCTACAGATTCCAGATGCAGAATATGCACAACAACAGATGCCACACTTATCAACCCCTCCACACACTAAGAGCACAACAATCCAACCTTTTGCAGTAAGGGTTACAGGTCCATGATCAACATCCATAAATCCATGCAAAGCACAATCTTAAAAACACACAAACAAAACCTGGAAAAGTCATGTCCCAGATATATCTTTACATGTCAGACAGCAGGTACCAGATATGGGAGGGGGACCACTGTTTTCCTCATCCACTTACCGGTGTTTGCCTTGATGTTCTCCCTTAAGAACTGCCCGCTGGAAAGATGCTGGAGACCAAAGCTCTTGGCGATCCTCTCGCACACCGTTCCTTTACCAGAGCCCGGAGGTCCCAAGACAACCGCTCGCAAAAGCCTGGCAGCCATTGAGATCTCCCTGGCAAAAGAAAGAAACAACAGTCAAACCCACAACGGCCACTGAAACGCGCAGGAGGCCCACCGCACGCCGTCTTTCCAGGCCATGCTAACGTAAAAGAGATTCTCCCGCTATTATGCCGAATCAGAGTTCCACGGAGCATAAAACTTCCGTTTTTCAATCTGCCCCAAAGCCACAGAGTAAATCCCACTGTGCTTCTTACTCCCAGCCACACTGACTCACCAAAAGTTTATCCTCTCCCATCCCCTTACCTCTGGAGAATAAGAAGAAATCCTCCTCACACCCCGGGGGGCGGGGAGGCGAAGGAACAGCGAGCGACGGGTTATCATGCCCGGAGCCTTCCTGTCAGACTGAGTAAAATGAACGTGCAAACTAGAGGAGATGCAGACGTGCCAAGTTTAAAGGACAACTATGGCACGCACCACCACCCTGCGACTTTTTTGCACGTGGGCAAGCCTCCCCAAACGCCTCTCAACACGAATGCTAGAATACAATTTGACAGAAATCCGGCACACAAAAAGACCTCCTCTAGGCTGGGCACAGTAGAACGCTAAACCTACCGTCCGTCAAAACACCGTCCGGAACATTAACTGGGTTTAAGAGTTGTCTATAAATCTCCTAGGAGACTTTTGGACTATTAAAGGGTGGGTGGATGGGTAGAGAAATACTTCCCATTCTTTTCCTTTAGTCAAACTATTCACAAGTCCACACGCCCTGCTTTAAACGACTACTCTGCTAGGGGGAGAAAGGTAGGACACTCAACTCACCACTTCTTTCGAGCGCAAAAGGGGGGGGGGAATCCAAGGAAAATAAGCCTGCAAAATGGCGTTTTAAAATGTTTTTCACATGGTACCTATCGAGCTTCTCCCAGACAAAAATAACAGACAGTACGGCTGCTCTCTTGCCAGCCCACGGCTCCGCCTGCGCCTTTAAGAGAAGAGAACCAGTCTCTTTGCAAACGCAAATTGCTCTTCCCAATTACTCAGCCCGCTCGCACGCAGAAATAGCCCCAGCCTATCTACAGGGGAAAGAAATACCAGTGGTAGAGAACAGCCAAGTGAACCTCGCCCCCTATGAAGCAAAGACCGTTAGGAGTTGTAGTCCTCAATTTTAATTTTCCGAGAGCCCTTTTGCTCGCACCGCGAGATAAATACACTACATTTCCCATCAGCCCATTAAATGTTAGACGCTATCCGGATCTCCTCCACCCACCTTCTCATAGGACAGGATGAATATAAGTGTAACTGGGCAACGTGTGAGTTTTTAAATGGGGGGGGGGTTTAAGGCGTAGGCGCTATTTCGTAGACGCAAGGGTATGCTTAATCAAAAGCAAGCAGATTACATGTAGACTTAGTTACTTTACAGTATTAGCAAAAATATATTTCTTTGAATAATCTAAGCTTTACTATTTTTTCTAATAAACATGGGTTCCTTTCAGTTCTAAATCACACCACCATGATGGAAACGGTGGGAAGTGGGTCCACCTACCGGCAATTAAGGAGAGTAAAAGCGAAGTAAAGGGCAAAGATTTGCTGCAAGACTACTGAAAAGGTAGTCCCGTTTGAGTTAAATAACTAGCTTCTAAAGTACAATGTAGCTTATACAAGGTATAAGGAATAGTGCTGCCCCCTGGCCTGACAATAAATATCCTGTTCCTATTTAATAGAGACTTAATGTATAGGAATACCCAATTGAATCTTTTCATGGTAAGGGGATAAATAATATCACTGCCAGGTAAATAATAGTCATGCCTTGATAAAAGGGAAAAGACATCCCCCCCCCTCTCCAGGTAAACTGGCAACCAGGCCTTGGTTCCTGCCAGAGCCCACCGGAGCACTGGTCTGCCAGTCAGGAGCCCAGGGGGCGGGCACATAAGCCCCGCCCCCTGCTCCCATGAGCCATCAGTTGGGCAACCCTGGGGAGCCCGAAACATTCCCCCGCCTCCCTGAGCCCCAGGGTGGTGGCCTTGGACTTGTAGGGGCAAATTCCTCCTCTTGCAGGAGAGATCATTCTGGCTCCCCCAGCTCTCCTTAGGGGCTCTTTAAAAAGTTATGGCCTCTGCCGTTCTCGGTGGCAGCTGCAAAACCCGTGCGGGGGGGGGCGAAACGTTTACTTGCCTCCCTGAGCCCCGGGGTGGTGGCTGCCACTGCTGTTCTCGGCGGCAGCTGCGACGCCCGCGGGGGGGGGGATGGGGCGAAACATTCTCCTGCCTCCCTGTGCCCCGGGGTGGTGGCCTTGGACTCGTAGGGGCAAATTCCACCTCTTGCGTGCGAGAGGTCATTCTGGCTCCCCCAACTCTCCTTGGAGGCTCTTTAAAAAGTTATGGCCGCCGGCGCTGTCGGTGGCAGCTGCAACGGCCACGGCTGCGAAACGTTCCTCCGCCTCCCTGAGCCCCATTATATCCTATGGGCCATCGAAGTCAATGGCGAAAACATAGGGTATATTCTGGGGGCTGGAGGGGAGGGAGTTTGAGGGAGAGGCTCCAAACTCACAGGGTAGCTGCTGGAGCCTCTCCCCAAGATAGCAACAAAGGTTGAAGAACATTGGACCAGGGGGTCCAATTCTACGGGCCCCCAAACAGGTTGCCCCTATCCGCTCCATTGTTCTCTACTAGACATCTGATCCAGCAGGGGGTGGAACGCTGTTGCCAACGTGTTTGGAAAGTCAGTAGCTACTTCCGGCATATGAGTAGGAGTTGCTATCTCAGTAGTTCCGGCCGAGGGTTTCTTCTCCAGCGTCATCTTTTTCTCTCTGCCCGACATTGTTTATATAAGATAAAATGTATTTGAATCAAAATGAAAGTTCTCCAATTTGAACGCTCTTTGGACTATTTTAAACTTTTTGGTCTTATTCAAAGTCTCTCATGGTCAGTATCTTTTTTCCCTTTGGGATTTTTGCTTGGACACCACTTAGTTTCAAGGGGGGGGATCTCCAATTTCTCCCCAGCCGCTGCTCTGTCCCGTAGGTTAGTTCCGTTCTGTTGAATGGCTTGTCAGGGGGATACACTTAGCTTACAGTTTGTAGTTTGTTTGGTTTTTTTGGTAAACAAATTTTATTTTCTCAGGAATACAACATGTAAGATTAAATCATTTCATTCTATTAATTGTCTACCCCATTCCCAGTTCCTCCCCTCCCTCCAATGGCTTCCCACAATGCTTCCACCCCTGCTCCAAATTACTTCATATCATCAACAATATCAGTTTCTTATCATTACAATCTAAAGATAACATCATTTGACTTAATATTGATCTAAACATATTAAGTTTTGTTTCACATCCCAGTTCTTTTCCAGATATATTTTAAAGTCACTCCATTCTTGATAAAACACGTCGTCTTCTTTGTTATTCAACTTCTTTGTAATTTTGTCCATCTCTGCCATGAACAGAACTTTATGTATCCAGTCCTCAATTTCTGGCACTTTCTCTGTTTTCCAAAATTGTGCATAAATCATTCTCGCTGTTGTGATTAAGTACCAGAATAAAGTCTTTTTAGTTGTATTAACTTCTTCCATTTTCAGTCCCAAAAGCAGAATTTCCGGTGCTTTTTTAAAAGAACATTTCAATATTTTTTGCATTTCATTGTGGACTTTTGTCCAAAAGTCTACAGCTTTCTCACAAGTCCACCACATATGATAAAATGAGCCCTCATGCCTCTTACATTTCCAGCATTTGTTTGACATATTTTGATTCATATTTGCAATCTTCTTAGGTGTCATGTACCACCTATACATCATCTTATAACAATTTTCTTTAACATTAGTACATGTCGAGATCTTAATAGAGTTTTTCCACAAATATTCCCAAGTTTCCATATCCACTTCCTTATTCATATTAATAGCCCATTTTAACATTTGTTCTTTAACAGTTTCATCTTCAGTATACCATTTTAACAACACCTTATACATTTTAGAAATATTTTTTCCTCCTCCACTCTCCCAAACCTTTTCAATTTCATTTTTTTCCTCTCTAAAACCATAGTTTTTTTTGTCAGATCTAAAAAGATCATAAATCTGCATATATTTCAACCACTCATATTCATATTCAATTTCATTCTGCTTTTTCATTACCCACTCTGTTCCCTCTTTTTTAATTAAATCTCTATATGGCAACCAGTCTCTACCTCGCTGTCTTGAGTAAGATATCAACACTTCTACTGGTACAATCCACAATGGTCTTAAGTCACTCTGGTACTTCTTATATCTTGTCCATACCATATACAAAGCTTTTCTCACCAAGTGAAGTTTAAAAAAACTGTCCATTTTTATCTTGTCATACCATAAATATGCATGCCAGCCAAATCTACAATCATGCCCTTCCAACCCCAACAATCTGTCATTTTCAAGCTTCACCCATTGATCCATCCATGTTAGACAAACCGCTTCATAATATAGTCTAAGATTTGGCATTTGTAGACCTCCTCTTTCTTTGGCATCACAAAGTATTTTCATTTTGATCCTTGGTTTCTTGCCTGCCCAAACAAATTTTGACAACTCTTGTTGCCACTTGGCCAACAAATCCGTTTTATGCAGAATTGGTATTGTTTGGAACAGGAACATCAAACGTGGTAGGACATTCATTTTTATAACTGATATTCTTCCCATCAGTGATAAGTTCATTTTATCCCATTTCTTAAAATCTTGAGTCAGCTTAGTCCATAATTTCTCATAATTATTCTTATATAGGTCTATATTTTTTGCCGTTAATTCAATTCCAAGGTATTTTGTTTTTTTAACTACTTCACATTGTACCAGTTCTTGTAGTTCCACTTGTTTTTGTTTGATCATGTTTTTACATATAAGTTTTGTTTTATTCTTATTTACGTAAAAGCCGGCCAATTCTCCAAACTCCTTTATTTTTTGAAAAAGCAATGTCAATTTTTCTGTTGGGTTTTCCACCATAAACATTACATCGTCTGCAAATGCTCGATATTTGTATTGGTGTCCTTTATGTGTCAAGCCCTTTATTTCTTGATCGTACTGTATTTTTTGTAAAAGTATTTCCAATACCCAGATAAATAATAACGGTGATAACGGACAACCTTGCCTTGTTCCTTTCTGTACTTTGAAGTTATCTGTCAGTTCTTTATTCACATTTATTTTAGCTCTTTGTTCAGAATAGATAGCTTCAATACAATTTCTAAAATGTTGTCCCGCTTCAATCTTTTCCATCATCTGGTGCATAAAATTCCAATTAAGATTGTCAAAAGCTTTTTCTGCATCAACAAACAGAAAAGCTACTTCTTTTTCTGGGTGCTTTTCATAATATTCAATTGCGTCCATTACTATTCTTACATTGTCTCAGCTTGGTCTTCTGAAATCACTGTTTGTAAATAGTTTTTCACCCTCTCTGCAACAGTTTGTAGTGTTTGAAGTGCAGAATGTTCATAAGTGCGCTAGATGTCTTGCCCACTTCACCCAGCAGTCGTCTCTCTCTTTTTTTTATGCCCCCTGAAGGGGATTTTTTATTTGCATTTTCTATAAACTACAAAACTACAACTAAAAATTGGAGGGGGAAGGATACTAGAACCCTAACACTCTAACTATGGGAAATGGGAAAAGGACAAACTAATACTTAGAAACTACTTGATGGGGAAAGGAAATTACTATTCTAAACTATTTCATCTATTGGATTTGGGAAAGGGAAAGCTAATACATGTCACGATCTAATTAGCTAAAGGTAAGGCTTATTAACGTAATGTTACAAGTTTGGTATACAAGTTGATTCGTTGCAATATTGCTTTAAGAATACGCATTTAACGTGCTTAGTACAAATTCTGCCTTTAAGAACTATTGTTCTTGTTCTAGAGTCTTTTCTTCCTGCATTTCTTCATTTTCTTGAGTTTGGGGGCGGCTTCTCCTTTCTCCGATTCCGATTATTCTGGTGATGTGGAAGTAGTGCTTTTTGAATCCTGTGAATAGGATTCTTCTTCCTCCTCTTGGTCTGGTTTTGAGTTCTTTTCTTTCTTCTTATATTTTGAGTTGAACATTTGATCCATACATTTTTTCGC